TTGAGGGTGCGCATGGAAATTCATGTGAGACTGCAGGCTACTTCAATACAGTTTACGTGCAGCCAACATGGGCCAAATTCTGGGATCGAGCCAATTCCGAAGGAACATCAAATGAAGAGATTATTGCATCCTTCCCGTTCCAATCATACTTTGCAAATGCTCCTCAGCCCCTGTTTGAATTTGAAGCCGCCAAGGAGGCGATCATCGACACTGCTGCAGGTTGCGAACGCCACATTGCTCGAATCTTTTCTGAGTTGGAAGACATCCGGCCATTCGAGATCTTGAGACAACCTCGCGATAAAGCGAACTATCTTCTTGTGAAGGAGGCCCGGATTATCGCGATGACTTCGACCCACGCAGCAATGCGCCGGCAAGAAATTGCCGATCTAGGCTTCCACTACGACAATGTGGTCATGGAAGAAGCTGCGCAGATTACCGAGGTTGAGAGTTTCATTCCCAACGCTCTGCAAAACATGAAGAACGGAGAACTTCCTCTCAAGCGTGTTGTTCTCTGCGGTGATCACCACCAGAACTCACCCATAATTCAGAACATGGCTTTCCGTCAATACGCCCACTTCGAGCAAAGTCTCTTCTTGCGACTAGCACGGTTAGGTGTCCCGGTGATCAACTTGGATAAGCAGGGACGCGCGCGACCTAGCATTGCAGAGCTCTTCCGCTGGCGGTACAAAGAACTCGGAGATCTTCCTGTGGTTGAAACTGCCCCCGAATACCAGCAGGCCAATGCCGGTTTCCAGTTCGACTACCAGTTCATCAATGTCCCCGACTACCAGGGTTCCGGAGAGCGAGAGCCGACACCTCACTTTATCCAGAATTTGGGTGAAGCAGAGTACGCAGTGGCCATGTATCAGTACATGCGACTCTTGGGCTACCCTGCTTCTAAAATCTCGATCTTAGCCACATATGCTGGGCAGACAGCTTTGATCCGGGATGTGTTGAGTCACCGCTGTGGAAAGAACCCCATGTTTGGAATGCCCAAGATTGTGACGACAGTGGATCGCTACCAGGGAGAGCAGAATGATTGTGAGTTGACTCCAAAAGCGTATCTACATCACTCAGAATATCGGGATTGCTAACATTTTTCTAGACGTGATCCTTTCTCTCACTCGTACCCGCAGCGTCGGATACCTGCGCGACGTCCGCCGTCTGACTGTAGCACTCTCCCGCGCCCGGCTGGGTCTGTACATTCTCGGCCGACGGGAAGTCTTCGAATCGTGCTACGAACTCAAGCCCGCATTCGACCTTCTTCTGCAACGACCGGATAAGCTCATGCTCGCGCCTGGCGAGATGTTCCCGTCGTCGCGGGGAGTGAACGCCGCCATTGAGGGCACTCCGATGGAGAGTGTTGAGCACCTTGGACAGTATGTGTTTGAGATGACACAGGCCAAGGTTAAGGCTATGGGTGATGGAGATATCACTATTGAGGATGCGGCGCCAGCTGGCGAAGATGACTATTTGGACGAGGATGAGGCTATGGGGGCCGATGACGAGGAGGAAAATATTGTATGAATTGTTTCGCAAATGGCAACAGCACCACTCAATAAAGGAATTTGTTGGACCTATCACACGTTTTCTGCTTCTTTATTTTCTGAGGGGCTCTTGAAGGAGTAGTTCATATTATATTGACTTGCGTAAAATTTCTCATCTCAGCTAGAATGGTATCATTTGGGGATATGAACAAAATCGTTGGGTTCTATACTCGGTCTTCTCTGACGACTCGGATTTGCTGCTGTAATGTCTGCTGATCTTTTCTTGCGTCTTTCTCAAGGACTTGAAGTAGATGTAAGACTTGTTGGACCAAAATGCTCTGCTTTCATCGATCGTAATATCAATTTCGCTCTCATTGGCCCTTGTGCTTGTTCATTTCCTCCACAATGTTATTGGGATCCTTCCAAGCCTGGGCCACGTATCTAAGTGATATTAGCAGTTTACTTTCGGAAATAGGATAGAGTACACACTTTGTGTGGCTCCCACGGGCAACGACATGTCCGTCCGGGTTCGTGAACTTGATGTTTGTAAAAGCAAGGGTCTTGCCAACTAAGCGAGGCTAGTTAGTTGGTGGCCAACACATTGAAAAAATAGACGTGGTGTAAAAGTCAGGTAGCATACATTTATCACAAGTCACCTCCTAATGTCAAAAGTTAGTACCCGTTTGGTAGTATTGAGAGACTTGAAGTAATAGATGGACAACATACGGCCATGATTCGGTCACCAACTTTGCCACCTGAGTTCAAATATGTGACTTGAAGAGGACCTCATTAGAAACAGAGAAGTCAGATAGGATACTTATTTTATAAATTTACCATTCAGGTCAGTTGACACACCCGTCGCGAACAAGCCACGAGATGCCACAGCCAAGGAGCCCCCGAGGTCGACTAGAGCATACTTTAGCCAAGTATCACAACGTCTGTGCCATATACAAGGATATCTTACCCATGCTCGCAATGGTGCCTCCATGGAGAATATTCAGGCGGTTCTAGATGTAAATGTCAGAGAGGACGGTTCCATGTGAAAAGTTGGGTCTTTAATAAGATCCCCAGAGATGTTTGCTAGAGATACTGCAGGAAAAAGAGACATACTGTATGCTCCTTCTGAATATCCAGCTCAAAGTTGACTACTCCGGGCCTGGCGGCGGTAACACGGAGCTATAGTAGAGGTCAGATAAGTTCAATGGAACCGCGAGCTAACTGGATCAGACTTACATTATTCAACAGACTTTAGTCACATTGGAGTAATATGTTAGTTTTGTTCCCCTCATATCTCAAAAGTTAGAGGCAAGTTGGATAAATTCCATACCGAGGCTCCAAACCCGAGGTAGCTCGGAAGGACTCCCAGACCTGTAGATAGCGATATGCGTTAGTGATAAGTGAAAGCCAGATGATGAAGACCTTAGTAATTACCGAGCGGACAAACTTAAGAGAAGCCATTTCTATAAAAGTGACAAATGCTGTGGAGATGGAATGATATAGGGAGGGTTACCAAGTCCAACATGGTACTTGACCCGGCGGCTCGGGAGCATCCCGGAGCTGCACTTTATGGCCGCTTCGGTCACCGTACCATCGTCATTTCACTCAACCGCCTCGCCTAGGCACTTTATTCTCTTCAGTTGCTTGAGAACTTGGTTTCTCACAGCTCATTATGGCGAGTGCAACATCCCGTCCTCTGGAGTATCTGGAGGGGCTCCCCGGGACGACCTTTTATAAATTATACCAACAGCCATCCACAGCCCTTGCAATCTTCCGGCGCATGCTGCCAGATCTGGGTACGTTGACCTCACCCACACGGAAGGGAAATGTTGTGCTAACAGTGCAAACAGCAAAATGTTTTGTGATGGCTCTACTCTATCTCAAAGACCCTCTTCCAACAGCCGATCTGGAAGTTTGGGTCAACTCAGAGAGTAAGAAGTGAGTGGCTTATCTGACGGATCTAGCTCCAATCATTACTGACGGTGTTCACACAAGGGAACGGGATAATGCGCTTTCAATATTGGGCCGACTTCACATTTTATCTACGACCCTCACAGGTGAAAATGTCCGTGCATACATGATCACCAACCCGTTCGCTGCTTCGCTTCGACAAGCTCTGATGGGCGCCGAGGACTCTCACTCTTTCGGTGTATTCTCCCAAGCTCCGGAACACACCCTTACCTCGATCGCGGATTTGGACGAATACGCCAGACGGCAGTGGGAAGGTGTTATGGGGTATATGGTTGGAACGAGTGCCTTGAGTGGACAGCGCGACACGGTCAATTTGAGTAAGGGCGTTAAACAGCTTCTCCAAGCCGGACACCTAGTTGAGATCAGAGGAAATCGTGTCGACATCACCAAGGACGGGTTCGGATTTGTGCTTCAGGACGTGAACACTCAGGTCTGGCATATCTTGATTCTTTATGTGGAGAGCGCCGAGGCCATCGGCATGGATAGCGTCGAGGTTCTCTCGTTCCTGTTCCTTCTGAGCAGCCTGGAACTCGGATCCTCTTACGACAAGAGCCACATGACACCCAACCAACTCCGCACTCTCGCGGACCTCGCAGATTTCGGTATTGTCTACCAAGAAGACGCCGATGCGACGCGATTTTATCCCACCCGTCTCGCAACTACGCTTACATCCGACTCGAGTGCTTTGAGCAACCCTGTCACAGGCTCTCTCACTGGACCAATGGGGCCGTCTGGTGGCTCTGGCTCCGGGTTCATCATCATCGAGACCAACTACCGACTCTACGCCTACACCTCATCACCCCTACAAATATCCCTCATCTCCCTCTTCACAAACCTCAAATACCGCTTCCCCAATCTCGTCACTGGCAAAATCACCAGACAGTCTGTCCGCCGAGCCATCGAGATGGGAATCACTGCCGATCAAATCATCTCGTACCTATTATCGCACGCGCACCCACAGCTGCGGAAACACAGCGCTGCACAACCCAATGGCAAGGGTGTTCCGGCATCTGTGCTCCCGCCTACCGTGACAGATCAGATCAGACTGTGGCAACTGGAGCGGGACCGTCTCCGGGCCACGGCGGGATTTTTGTTCAAGGATTTCACCAGCCTGACCGAATACCAGGCCCCTTGCCAATATGCCGCGGAGATTGGTGTGCTGGTTTGGAAGTCGGATCGGAAGCGCATGTTCTTTGTCACGAGACATGAGCAGGTGGCCGCATTTTTGCGAAGTCAGAAGGTAGGGAGGTAACATAGTTATGCAAGGCATAAGACTTCAGTCATTATGAATTTGGAAAAGCACAAGACAAGATCTTTGGGGTAATATGGATACTGGGAAGCATGTCACGAAATCACGACCCATTGCCGTTGACACGGCTGTGATATAAAAATTGTACAATAAGCAATGAAAGAAGATTATGATCAGCGGAGATAATGTTAGTGACTTCTTCTATTGGACAGTCATCAAAAGATCAAAAGATCCCTATAGTAACGACTACATAACGACTACATAATCAAGCAAGGCAAACTTGAGTATCATGCTACCTATGTACCAATCTTCTGCTTAAAAGTCACCCACTTACTCCCAACTCTCCTCCGATAACTAACACAAGTATGCCCCTTAACTTCATCCGGCAGAAGAACCCTAACATCGGAAACCCTCGCTTCGGCCGGCACTTTCGGCACAAGCAAATCCTCATCCCCAGGCAGGATATGCCCCACAGATGAATTGATACAGACATCGCTTGCATAAAAATCCCCCTCTTCAATCCTGATAATCTCCTCCAAAACATCAGCCAGAATCGAACCATTCCACACCCCCTCTCGATGCGGCGCAGTCCTCAACGCCCTCACAGCTTGCCGCCGAATCCGTGGAACACGGCACTTAAGAGCTGTGTAGTATATAGGCGGGATATACCCCATCTCAACCGTGAACCCGTTCTTACCACAGTCCGGTGACTGCAGGTAGTGGTTGACTATAGGGGCTTTTTCGAGAAGTTCTAGTAGAGAAGCCTCCAGGATCACATCCATGTCGGACATCGTCTTGAAGTTCTGAAAGATGGCTTTCAGGTCGTCCGGGGCGGTGGCTAACTTAGAGAGATCCTTTTCGCTGAAGGTTACTGCTGCCCACAATTTCCATAAATCGAGGAAGCCGGACATTATATTGATGAAGTTCTCGGTGTAGGTGTCAAAGATCAGCTCAGATTCGGTTTCTTCTGGTGAGAGGCAGACTGAGGCCATTATTGTGGCCATTTCGTGGTGCACCCGTAAGAGAAGGTAGCCGGTTTGATCTTTTCCCGATATCTTGGTGGTTTCGAGGCGTGCAAGTGAGAGAGTGTATGTTTTATGCCAGAGGGATAGGTCTGCAAGGATTACGCTTTGTGTATTGACCATTTCTTGGGTGTTGGTTGGTGTCTGGGATGCGTGGTGGTTGTGGTAATGACTCTTTAGACAGTGAACTCTGTTCAAGAGGTCGTCTAGGCTGCGTCTTGCTTCTAGGAGTGAGGTGAATGTATGAGGAGGACTGGTGATTTGTGGGTCTTTTGTTACAAGATACACGTGTGAAGGCACGTGGCCGAATATGGCTGATTGAATGCCGAGCCGGACATAGGCATCGACTAGGGCGTTATAGGCGAAGTCTTCTTCAGGAGACAGAACGATCGGCACCATGGATGAGGGGTGACGTGGTGCGGATATACCGAAGAGGAGCTTCATGCCATATTGGAGATGTGCACTCCCCATCTGATACTGCCCGCGCATGTATTCTAGGGTGATAAAGAGCATGCACGTAATCAGCGCTACTCGTAGAGAGTAGCTACTGTGGGTTGTATTGGTGCGTAGGTGTTGAATTGCCTTGTTATATTGCTGAAGAGTGAAACACTCCTCGTCATATTTATCCCGCGCGGGGGCATATCGCTGCTGGACACGATGCGTAGACGCCAAGGCAATGACAGCATGACGCACGGCGGGTTCCTGTGCGCTAGATTGAAAAATCAAGGTCTCCCAGAATTCCGATGGAAATAAACCGGCGAACTTTCTTGCGGTTCGTTTGATCATCCAGTCAAAGCACAGCTGTTCCTCGTAGCTGAGGTTGCCAACTGGGACCGGTGTGCAGTAGGTTGATAGAGCCCGGTTGCTCTGTGGCTGCCCGTAGGGGCTTCCACCTCCCCCCCAGATGCCATAGCCGTCGCAGACTCGGCTGGTTGATACACAGCGTCGGCAAGCTGGTCGACCTTCGTCACATTTGACCCGGCGGATTCTTGATCCAGTTAGGGAGTACTAGAATGAGGACGGGCAAATACTTACTTGCAAGTCTTACAGCCTGTTTTGGCCTTTTTGTGGACTAGCGGGACTTTCATATGCATATTAGCAGTTGGGAATAAGAGAACATACTCTCAAGACTGGCCCCAGGAAGACATCAGTGAGTTCCGAGGTCCTTTCAAGGGTGTGGAGCTAGTCGGACTTAATCCTTAACTACGCCAGTATGTGATTGGCGGGCTCGCTTTTTGAGTGGTGTGATTGGCTGAAGACTATTGAAAAACCCACATGTATCCATCTATCATGGAGATGTTGTGAATGACGCCCTTTCTAATGGACTCGGGCTGCGGATAGATTCGAGGATATTCGGAGTTAGGATTGAACAGGCTAGCTGTCTACAAATATAAAAGGTCCTGCTAACACCGTGATATTCTTTTCCTCTCACTACAATACTCACAATTCTACTTCCACTGTCCACATCTTCTCACTCGGATTCTCTTTGATATCATTACAGCCATGTCTCTTCCAACTCGATCTCTTGGACGCAACGGTCCCCAAGTTCCCGCAGTTGGTGTTGGGCTTATGAGCCTCGGCAGTATCTACGGATTTGCCGGTTCCCTCGAAGACAAGGTAGCCTTTCTTGAACATGCCCATTCGATCGGTGCGCGATTCTGGGATACAGCCGACCTATACTTCGACAGTGAAGACGCAGTGGGGGAGTGGGTGAAGAAGTCAGGAAATCGCAATGACATTTTCCTGGCCACCAAGTTTGCGATTCAATACGACGTCGCCACGGGTACCCAGACAATCCGCTCTGACCCGGAGTATGTCAAGGCTTCCTGTGAGAAGAGTTTGAAGAAACTCGCGGTTGAGACCATTGATCTTTACTACTGTCATCGGGTTGATGGTGTGACCCCTATTGAGAAGACTATCGAGGCTATGGTTGAGTTGAAGAAGTAAGTCACACCCTTCGAACCAAGAGACCTCATCACTGATACACTATTAGCCAAGGCAAGATCAAGCACCTTGGATTATCTGAATGTTCAGCTGCAACTCTGCGCCGTGCTCATGCTGTCCACCCCATTGCAGCATACCAGGTGGAATACAGTCCGTTCGCTCTGGACATTGAATCCTCCGCTACCGATATCTTGACTACCTGCCGTGAGCTCGGTATCGCTGTCATTGCTTACAGTCCCGTTGGTCGAGGTATCTTAACTGGACAAATTCAATCGTTCACAGATATTCCCGAAAATGATTTCCGCCGCGTGCTCCCTAAGTATGCACAGGAAAATTTCCCAAAGATCCTCGAACTAGTTCAGGGGTTGAAAGATGTTGCCAACAACCACGGCAGCACTCCTGCTCAAGTTGCTATTGCATGGCTTCTTGCCCAGGGCTCTGACATTATTCCTATTCCCGGAACAAAGTCTATCAAGTATCTTGATGAGAACACCAAATCTGTCTCTCTTGATTTGACGGATGCGGAGGTGCAAGATATTCGGGCTTTGATCGAGCGGACTAAGATCCCTGGATCTCGGTATCACGAATCGTGAGTTTGTCCTTGCAATCCATGCTGACGTGTTGCTAATATTATTTCAGGATGATGGACAGCCTCTTGGCTGATACCCCGCCACTCTAGGTCTGGCAGGGCCTCTAGTACTTTATTCAGATCTAAAATTTAGTAATTTTTGCTTGGTGTACATCGATGTATTCTAGGCTGATATCATATCTCTCGGAATTCATGAATAAACCAATAGTGCAGAGTACACAAGAACTAAATTGGTGCCAATAGCCAGGAGCGGATTTCCTTGAGGGTACCCCAAAATCCCTTATAAAGATGTTAATACATAATCCAGTAGGACAGACTTTCGGTTGACGTAAATAACTGTTTATTCTGACGAGTTGTCTTATTAGGGCCTCGGTACTAAGACCGTCAATATCTTTGGAATGAGAAGTGAGACAATAATTTGTCATTTTGATCAGATATTTCCATTGCACATTCCTATTCCGAGGTCTATGGATTTCTAGACGCATGTTTGTCAGAACATTTCTCCAGAGTAGACATATATTTCTCTACTGATTGATCCCTGTGAGTCATGCGTTGAGTCACTCATTGCTGATTGGTCAATTTGAGAACACATTGAGGCAATTCGGAAGAGGAACTACGAACTACCTAGGTATATGTAGGTACTATTTGATTAAAAACTTGGTCAAGATGGCATAAAGACTGGTTCTCCAAGAACCGAAATATCTGGGAGCCCCAGGCACTTCATCGCGCTGTGTATTTACCATGAAATGGTGTGGATGTCGCATGAGATCACCTTTAGAACTGAACCGATCTGGCCGTTTCCAGAGAGATTGGGCTCTGTACCTAAACCGAGCAGACTAATGATTGGATACTTTGAGTACAAATTTTGTCTTTCGTTCCGATTGGTCACTATGCATTCAGTTTTATTTCCTACCACTGATTGGACATATCCAGGACATACTGGAAGGGTATATTATGCTTTATTTACTTCTTTATACCCTCTTCAATCGCATTCTTGTTCACTGCCTCTCCCGCCATTCCCGTGACAGTTTTAAAAAAGAAGATCACCTACAAATCTTCGAAAAGGTCGCAAGTTACTGGTAGCCAAAAATCGCCTTCTCTATTTTATCTTTATCTCTACAGATTATCACGAGTTGTGAAAAATAAAGCACTCAGAGAAGATAGCGCCAATGTCCGAATATAGTCATCCGATAAATACTTTGGACGCCTTGTATAAGAAAGAGACGCTCACCGGCAACGCGTACTCTTCTACTTCCGATATCGAAAAACCATCGCCGCATCTCCCTACAACAGCCGACCTAGCACCTCTCAAGATCGAGATCACTTATCCCGAGGGTGGCCGCGATGCCTGGTTGGTGGTATTGGGCGCATGGTGTGGCTTGACCTCGTCACTGGGTATCTATAACACATCCGGCATGTTCGAGGTCGTTATATCCAAAGTGATATTACCAGAGGCTTCCTCCTCTACTCTTGGCTGGATATTCTCAGTCTATGCCTTCGTGAACTGGGTCTGTGGAGTACAAATTGGACCGACCTTCGATGCCATGGGCCCGCGTGCATGATGATTGCGGGATCTATTTGCACGCTGATTGGCATTTTCACACTCAGTGTCTCTACAGGTAAGATCGGTTCTCATATGATGCCACATACAATCGTATATGCTCGTACCCTCTGCTGAATTTGACTTTTCCTTGCTAATGGTGACACAGAATACTACCAGATCTTCTTGTCATTCTCCATAATAACTGGCATCGGCTCATCTCTTCTCCTTACTCCATCGATGGGCTGCGTTGCTCATTGGTTCATGGAGCGCCGCGGTCTTGCCAGTGGTATAGCATTTATAGGAGGCGGTTTTGGTGGTGTTCTCTTTCCCCTGATGATACAATCACTCCTCCCTCAAGTTGGCTGGGGATGGTCGATCCGGATCCTCGGATTTGTGCTGCTTGTACTCTGCGCTATCAGCGTGGTATTGTGTCGAAGCAGAATCCCCCCCAGAAAAGGAGCTGAAACAACTTGGCGAGATACTTTACCAGATTATAAAGTCTTCGTGGATGGAACAGGAGCCATGGCACTCACAACCGCCGGAGTTCTTTTGACGGATTTGGCGTACTTCATCCCGATTACGTACATGCCGCGTTACTATCTCGATCGACAGCATCTTTCTGATAAGGAGGCCCTGACGGGGTCGTCGGCGTTTGCATATCAGCTTCTCGCGATTCTCAATGCTGCTTCATGCGTTGGCCGATACGTGGCGGGCGACATGGCAGATCGATTTGGCCGATACAATACTATGATTGTCTCGTTGCTTTTCTGCACAATATCGGTTCTAGGATTCTGGTTACCAGATATCCTCGCACCAGACCTCAATTCCTACGCACTCTTGGTAGTTTTTATCCTAATATTCGGGTTCTGCAGCGGTTCAAATGTTAGCTTGACACCAATATGCCTGGGTCAGCTTTGCGAAACCCAAGAATATGGACGATATTATGCGAGCTGTTTTACGGTAGTATCTTTTGGGGTACTGGCAAGTATCCCCATTGCCGGAGGTCTTCTAGATGCGGTGGAGGGCGTAGGAAAGGAAAAATATTGGGGAGTTGCTCTTTTTGCTGGACTCAGCTATGTGGGCGCCTTTTTGTCTTTTTTATGGGCTAGGATCAAAGTAAAGGGGATAAATTGGAGGGTAAAGTGGTAAAAAGTCTGGCTTACGCGGGTTCAAAGACCACAAAAGGCTCGCAACAATGTATCAGATCAGACCTGACACTCATATACTAGTACCTATACTGTTTCACTTGACCATCCCGATGGGCCCCATCTTGTCTATATTCATTAGTGGCCTAGTTTTATATGTGAATATGAGTGAAACCAGCATAGCATCGTCTCCTGGACAGCACAAGATGAACGCAGTCACGTCAAAAAACGATTTCGAAAGCATATTGGCAAACCAAACCACCTGCTATCCATTAAAGATTTCCAACCTTAGAATATACATGATTTATCATCTTATCTAGCTCACACCGGTCTTGGGTGGGGACCCCTAATTCCAACTATAGACATCTATACCCCGTCGCGCTAGGCCATTGTAGGCGATACCATAGGTACCCTGGGTAGTACCTATGTAGGATTTGCTGTTGATGATCATATAAGGTAGCCGTGGACCATAATACCAAAAGTAGAGTAGGTACAACGCTTAGTTGAGAGCCTCTATAACATGATACTTTGATTTTGTTGATGTTCTTGTAAGTACTAACCCACTAGTAGGTCAATCTGAAAATGAGCAGATCATCGGCTACCCCTTATGTACTTTTTCTATATTTCAGTCTGAAACCAAAAAAAGCAGATTAGCCAATATTCTAGCTTCCCCTTTTCTACTACCAACAGTTGGATGGCAGATCGAGGTCCAAGAAACTTGAGCTGCAATCAGTGTGTTTCTTGTACGGAGTATCTATAGGAATCAAATTAAATTATATCCACACAAGTTGAATAAGTAAGATAGAATTTTTCTCTTTGATTCTATCTAGCCATGTTGAAATTGCGGTTTCATTCACCTCTATACATCGATGTAGTTGATTGCCTCGGTACATAGTCCATACTCCCCACACGCATACACCTAGGTTCAATTCAATATACAGAATCAAATCGCCCAACGTAACTAATTATATACGGAGTTGGCTGTACTACGCCACATACATCATTTTTGCCCCGTACATATCTATGTTGTGGGTATTCTTGTTCGATGATCTCAGGGGAGAGACAGGTTTATTCCCGGGCGGTGAGTCCCCATACCAAAGTACGCCACCTCCGCATTCTCGTCGGAGAATTAAACCTGGAAGTATTCCAAGGGAGCAAAACCGCCTGCTAATGTCATCCTATGACCCTACATTCCGATGCAAAATATTCCTCACACCATGCAAATACAACCTTCGAGATCGATTAGTTCCGATCAGTTCGAAAGTTCCCACGCTCGTTGGCGCGCCCTCACACACCGCACTCCTTCCTCCCACTCCTCCTTTCTCTACGGCGTCAAATCTACCAAGATATACTGCCGTCCGACCTGTCCTGCACGCCTTGCTCGAAGAGCCAATGTTGTCTTTTATGACACAGAAGACCAAGCGCGACGGGATGGCCACCGGCCGTGCAAGAGATGTCAACCGGATAATGCGAGCTTCATTGGAGAGAGGGAGGAAGTTGTCACAAGGGTTCTAGCACTTCTGCGGACCAAGCGGGATGACCATGACCTAACAGTGAAGCGAGGCTTGAAGGAGTTAGCACAAGAGGTCGGTGTAACGCCGAGTTATCTCTGTCGTGTGTTTAAAAGGGCGATGGGGCTTACACTAGGAGCATATATGATAGAGTTTGAGAGGGAGGTAAGCGAGGGCAAGATAGAGCGCGAATCTCAACTTCCCAGCACAGTTGGATCTGGTATGGTTGACGTGGCGATGGGACTCTGGACGCCAGCGACAATGGCAGAGAGTCCTATAGCACCTGTCGAGGGTCCGAACGAAGAGTTGGCAGAGCAGCAAGTGGGAAATGTCGCAGAGGCTCTAGACTTGAACTTCGATTTTGACGAGTGGTTCTGGACTGGAGGCTTTACTCAAGAAGACTTCTTCTTAAACGATAACTGGAACGCAGACTTTTTGAATGATAGCGCCTACAGATATGATATTTAAGGCGGTTGATATCATATGGGTACGTACATGTCTGTCCCAAGTGTGTATAACTAATTGGTACGGAGTACATAGTTGATTTTACTAATGATGTGTTTTCTTGCATACTTTCTGCAGAAAATGTGTGAAATGAGTATAAAATGAGTAATCTCGAGAACGTCTACGGAGTAATTACTGCATATCACAAGCACCTACTCCGTAATAAGCATCTAATAAGCACTTGGACATGTAATAAGCACTCACCATTTCCATAAGCCTACTCTACACGTGATATTTTTTTCTAACGCTAAACCCGTATGAACATCTCTAACCTCTGCCTCGACCTATAAAAGTCGAGAAAAAGCAAAATACAGTATTTGGTACACAATATTATTGTAACCCCTCGCATTGAAGGAAACACGGCAAGTGGGTCATATCATAGTGGACGAATTGCTGATCTTATTTAAAATCAATTCCAGCTATTGCACTTGGCCCACTTGGCACCCCTTGGGGGGGCAGGACGGGGCGGATACCAGCCTCCAATAAATTGGGGGAAACCCCGCGCTGAAAAAAATTAATTAAAAAACACGTCACGGTCCGTGTGTTTTCTTCTTCCTATACGGACCTCAGTATCAAGATCTTCCCGATGAGAGGATATGTCCTCACTCAGCAATTCCAGCCCAGGGAACTGGATCACCGGCAGCTACACAGGCGACAGTATTGGTGTCCGTATCACGATCGCAACATTCGTCGGAGTTGCGTGGTACAACGTGATCGAGCTAGTCGTGCTCATCTTCCTAACCTTCAAGCGCTATGAAGGCCCCTATTTCTGGAGCATGCTGATAGCCAGCGTCGGAATCCTGCCGTATTCTGTTGGCTACCTAATCAAATTCTTCGGCCTGACGTCCGCAACTTGGGTGCCCGTCACGCTGTTGACAATCGGTTGGTGGACTATGGTAACCGGCCAGTCGTTCGTGCTGTATTCGCGTCTCCACCTAGTGATCCAGAACCTGCGTATACTGCGCATGGTGAGAACTATGATCGTCACAAACATTTTCCTGCTGCATATACCCACAACCGTGCTCACTTACGCGGCCAACTTCTCCAGTTCTGCTGCCTCGGTTGCGGGGTACGATATCATGGAGAAGCTGCAGCTGACGGGCTTCTGTGTGCAGGAGGTTATCATCTCGGGGTTGTACATGTGGGAGACGAATCGCATGCTGCGCTTGAATCAGGACCATGTTAGTCGCAAGACTATCTTGCAGCTGCTCGCCGTCAACGTGTCCTGTATCCTCATGGATATCGCGTTGATGATCATCGAGTTTAGAAATTACTATATCTACCAAACGACCCTCAAGGCCACTCTGTACAGCATCAAACTGAAACTTGAGATTGCAGTCCTCGGCAAGCTGGTCAATATCGCTCACCAGCATATGTGGAGATCGTCGTCTTTCACTACTGGCGGCGCACAATACCCCTCTTTCGTTGACCCGAGCCATGCCTTGCACGATTTCAGCCATGCAGACTCGTTGGCTACCAGCTCGGGATCCAAAGGCCGCGTATCTGGAACCGAGGCTATTGACAGCGACGTTCGGTGAGCTTGGCTTTATTTCTACTTCTCTCAAACTCCTCTACCAAGCCAGATGGTCAACTTGATCCATCCCACAGTATTGCAATATCATCTGCTGTACGTGAGATGATCACCACTCAAAGTGATCCCACTCAACCGTCGCCAACAACGACCCACCGCCCAGCATTCGCTTCGCGCCTGTCGCTCATGCTTCAACCTTTCTGTTGAGGCTTAGTTATATCGGTTATCAGCCATGGAATACCCTGCGCTACCCCCGTCTAGATCAAGTCATTCCTCCAAATGACTGAGAGCGAACAATTGGCCGCGTGGAAAGCGAATGTACTTTCGGGCATGCTGGAATGGCCCCCGTACGAGCCCGGGACAAACTAGTATTTATCTTCATCCGGCAGAGATAGAAATATCGGAATGCCATGGTCTCATCTCCTTGAGGCTACTTTTGAAACATGCCGAGCTTTTTGGTAAAGACGAATTTTTCGACTCGGAAAAGTCACCACTGAGTGTAGATGTTTGGTGAGATACATTTTGGTATATATAAAACCAGTCATCTTTCTATAGGACGTAGGCAGCTTGTGCACTACATAAATTCATAACAGGTTGACCTAGGAATTAACCACCACGGAGCATAGCGAGAAAGGAAAGCACGGCAAATGAGCTGATGGGCTTGGGATATATTTCGTTATTTTGCAGCCAATAAATTAGCCATCTTCGCCTTTTGTTTACTTTGTTAGGCGAGTATAGACAGCTGTAGGCCACACAAAGAACAGCAACAGTTTCTAGTCCCGAGGCCTGATCGTCAAGGGGCACATACAGCAGAAGTAACTTCAATGTTTCTCCAAGGTCGACCGATTATTGGCGGTCCTGTCATCTCAACCTGGTTTCCAAACCCCTTTTTCAGAACATCATTCTAGGCCATGTAGTGCTTTCAACACGCATTGTCATCCGTGTTCGGGCGATATACAATGATGTCTCTAGTCCAATATTAACAAACTCAGCCCCGACAACGTCATTTTCATATTCCAACCGAAAAATCCCCGAAGAGAAGGGAAAAAACGGAAAGAAAAAGTCCAAAATTCACGTTTGTGTCCTTTGCCGATCCGAGGTGAAGCGCCTACAACCGGCCCGGTAATGTCGGGAGTGGGGGAGACCCGATAGCGGATAAAGCACACACACCGTTGAACATTTGAAAGAAGTGAAAAAGAAAAGAAAGAAAGGGTATATTTGTCTTCTATGAATCTGTATATATATATGTATCTGTATCTGTATATTTATAATTTATAAGCCCGGAGAAACCTCAAGACCCATTGCGCTGGCCACCAACTTGATCGTGCAAGTAAAGCCGGCCTTCCGTATTAACGAACCCGCCAATTCCGAAGGCGGGGATAATGCGGCACATGCGCAGCAGTGACGCGCCGATCCAGTCGCGGCTGACACGGCTGATTCGCTCTTTGGTCGGCATCACCTGTGGCCGGTTATATAGATCTAGGCCGAGTAGGTGGATGGGCGTACTGATGAGTTGGATAGAAGCTGGGATAGCGAGCTGCGCAATCAAGATTTTGAGGTATTCTTGGGAGGCGATAGAGTCTGGGATTGATGCTGAGACCATGGCGGGGAGACTGAAGGAGCCAAAGATTGTGAGGGCATCCCGGACGAGGAAGGCTGAGTATGTTGCTACTGGGATTCGGGTGCGGCCGATCGAGCGGGCCGTTTTAGGGGGTGAGGTTGTGTTGGAGGTTGAAGTTGAGGTGGAGGTGGAGGTGGAGGTGGATGTGGGAGTTGGAGTTGGGCTTGGTGTGGTTGTGATGTTTGCAACTGGTACGGAGGTGTTGCTGTGGCCGAATAATTGGGCGAATTTCACGTCCTTCCAGATGCCCACGGAGGAGTTGACTATGAATGTTGAAGCGAAGGTGGTCATCCCTGCGATAGCATGGTCGATCTTCGGGTACCACTTGCTCAGGATGGTCTCTGAGGCATTGGCTGTGGCAAAGGTTGCGGTATAAAGGGACCAGACAAGGAGACTGGGTCGTGATGTTAAGAAAGTTGCAGGTTGTGTGAGGGAGAACCAGAGGTGTCTGCGGAATGCCGGGAAGAGAGGTTGGTTGTAGAATGATTTCTCGACGACGAGTCTAGGCGATAATGGTCAGTATACGTTGATAAGATGGAATCTGACTTGGCCTACCTGTCAAAGATCATCACCGCTGGGGTTATCAATGTTGCTGAACCTGCAGCAACGACTACATCGGCCGCCAACAGTTCTGCCATCCGGCTTTTGGTATGCGGGATAGCGAATGGCATAGCCTGCTCTTGGATTTGCTGTGTCATGGCTTATGATGTATGGTTTTTAAGCGGGCAATGCTACCACCATCTGTTCGTGATCGTCAGGCAGTCTGGTGGGTTCGCGATATAGAGACAGGACTGGGCAAGGTTCGGTGAAGCTGCAACCTAAACAGATTAGAACTGTTAGATCAAATAAATCCAACGCGGGGCATTCCATGAGACAACTTACTGTGGATCAAATGCTGATCAATGGAACGAGTTAGGGTTGCGCGACTTGGGATGCACTGGAAATAAAAGGAGGGGGAGAAAGAATGAGAGTGAGTAGAAGAAGAAACCCCTCCGTAAATATATCCCCAGCACGCATTCTATAATGTAATGCCAACATCTTATCAAGAAATCAAGCACCATCGACATTTATAGATCGCCGGCTCAAAAAGACAACGCGTCGGCCAAGCGAACCAATCACAGCACAAACCGGGCCGGCGGCCGGTGCTAGATACGGGCCGGTGATTGGTGCAGTCGCCGCGCCGTGATCGACCTTATAACTCAGGGACAAGATTCTAGAAGTTTTGAGTTGTACTCCGTACTCCCAAAGGTATGCGAGGATGTCTAGGACAACGCGTATGCTTTCCCCAATTGGATTGATATTATGATACCTCCCCGCATTCCCCCGATCTCAACATGATTTGCTCACACTATGATATTGGATGAGTTTTTTTTTTTTTTTTTTTTTTTTTTTTTTTTCNGAGTGGGGTTACTTCTCGCCTTCATGATCAGGCAGGAAAACAAGATAGGGTCTCCGATCTGTATCCAGCTTGTCCCTCACTAGTACAACTTCACTAGTTAATACGAGTGGTACATAACTATAGAAATTAATAGAAGGACGGCTGATCATCTATGAAAGCAAGCGAGAATGTCTCCTTTTCTATGTACTCCACCTAAAAAGGGTCTAATTGTAGCGCAATAATGTGGGCAAAGCAGCCCTGGAGACACTGACTGCATGAAAGCTCAACAATACCCCAACAAAAGCTTCGCCCATGTTTCTCCAATAGGCGGACACTCACAGATAAGAACCCGAGGAGTATGCACGGCCATACATTTGCACTTGTGCATAGGCCCCTTTCACTTCATGGTGCTATGATTGGCTGTAAACCAGATT